TGTAAGGCGTTTGGATATATCTATTCTTAAATTTCCATATTGTAATTTTAAATATTACATATTATGTAAATTCTATATTAATTATATTAGGTACATTTTAAATATATATAAGTAGGTAATAATCAGGTTATACCTGATTATTTTATTACAAAATTAGTTTATATTGTATTTTAAATTAGTACTAATAATTAATATTAAAATAAATTTATGAGGACCGCTTTCCCAGCACAAGCTTAGCTTACAGGGGGCGCTTCAATATATTATTAATTTTAAATTAATCATTTATACATTTTAGATTCTGAGCGGAGCGATGAATGTATTGGTTTTACAATGATGTATGTTTTTTTTTATATTTTTATTTATATTTTTGTGTCTGTCATCACGTTTTAGGACAGTAAAAATGCTTGGATTTTCTTCATCAGTAGCTTTTCTGGTAGGAAAGTGAATCTAGTTGGTACTTTGGGGGGTCAAAAGTATAAATTTCCCAGTAGTTTTCACAAGCGCCGGGAAAAACAACATAAAAATTAAGGAAAAACGGGAATTTTTACGCAAAATTGGTTTTCCAAAAAATCGATTTTGGTTATTGGTGTAACTCTAAAACAAATGAACGTATATACATGAAATTTTCACTGGTTGTTTATATTTGCATTTTCTATACACGATAACATTTTCAAAATATTTGATTTATTTTGAACTGTTTAGGGACATTTTCATTTTCCATTTTTTTTTAGTTTTTTTCTAAAAATATCAATAAAATTTTATTTATTGGTTGCGAAAGCTTGAAAATTTAATAGAAGGCTCCTAATATGTTGTTTCAAAGGCAGATGAAAAATATTAAAAATCCTTAGTCACAATTTTTTTTTATAAGCATTTAAAGTTCAAAAAATGACAAAATATGGAAAAATCACGAAAATTAGCAAATTATTTTGAGTTAAGAATTCGTAAAAATTTTTCTTTTTAAATCTAAGATTTGAAAATGAAACACAAGATTCCTTATAAGATTATCTACCTTTATCAATAAAAAATCTCTACCGGACAGTCAAATTAAATTTTTATGAGCGTTTGAAATTCAAATTTTTACAACATTGGATTTTCACTCGATTACTCATGTAGCGATTTCCTTATTTTGTTGCAATTCAAAAACGAACAACTGTAGATACATGAAAATTTCACTGAATGTTTAAATTAGCATTTTCTATACACCATACAATTTTGAAAATATTTTGACTCTTTTTGAGCTGTTTATGGACATTTACAGCTTTCAATTTTTTTTTAGTTTTTTTTCTATAAATATCAATAAAGGTGTATCTGTTGGCCCAAAAAGTGTAAAAATTTAATACAAGGCTCCTGATATATTGTTACAATAGCAGTTGAAAAATATTAAAAATACATAGGCATGATTTTTTTTTATAAGCATTTAAAGTTGGAATTTTGACAAAATTTATCAAAATCTCGAAAAATATCAATCGTTGGAATTAAAAAATTATAAAATGTTCAGTTTTTATAACTAAGAGTTGAAAATTTAAAACAAATATTCTCTTAAATAATTCATACTGTAACCAAAAAATCTAAAAAATATATAAACACACTTATTTTTTACAGACATTTTAATTTCAAATTTAGACAAAATTTCATATTTAAACCAAGAATTACGATTTTAGTTATTTTGTTTTGATTGAATAATATTATTCGTGGGTACTTGAAACTTCTAAAGTGTACTATTATATATCTATGATAGTATCACGGTTTTTGTTGATGTATAACGCGTTATAAGTATCTAATGGATATTGTGATATGATCAGTTTGTAATTTATTATAGGTACCTATTATAGGTCAATTTTTTGTTTAATACCATAGATATGTATATAATATGTCTTATACATAGACTGACATACCGTCACCGCTCAGAATCGTTTTTCTTATACAATGATATTATATCATTGAATTCAAATTTAATACCATCCATTATACAGTGACCCACTTGTAACCTACTGTACAGCAGAGCGACACCCACTTGCCCACCTTTTTTAATCTGTTATTGTTGCAATAAAGTTATTAGGAACGATTCTAGTTTAGCAACCTATCGATTTTTAAAAATTTTTTTTTTCCAAAATGTGTGTTTTAGGGTGCTTTATAAGAATATAAAAAAAAAAGCCCGGACAAACTTAGTTTTGAAGTTATTGATCAAAAACTTCAAAAACTTCATTTTTTCGTTACGCGCATTTTTTTTAAAAAAAAAATACTTAGAATTGAATATTTTTAGATTTTTTTTTTCGAAATGTGTGGTTTTTAACGCTTAATAGATTGGTAAAATCAAAACTTACCTAACATACTTACTTTTGAAGTTTTTGCACGTAAACATTGAAAAATACCATTTTAAAAATTAATAATAAATCCTTTCTAAAATTAGCTGAAAATCAGTTTTTTTAATATTTTTTTTTTTTAAATAGAATTATGCCATTTATATTTATTTTATATCAGAATCATAGAAACCCAATTTGTATAATTTTTGTATTTGTTAATTAAAATATTAAATTATTATTTTAAAATATTGAACACAGGCCAATGAATGCGTATTTCAGTGTATAATTATCATAAGTTATTATTATTAGTAACTTATTATAAGTTTGCTTTCAAACATTATGGTTAGGTACTAGAAAGTCTAGAATATGATGAGTCTTTGCTTAGGGTCTAACAATTATTATTTTATACTTTCTCCAACATTTTTAGATTTTAACCTAATTCACTAACTGATTTCAAAAAATAATACTTCTTTAGTATTTGACCAAAAAACTTTTTTTTTTTAGATTCTGAGTGGAACGATGAATGTATTGAATTTACAATGATGTGTGTTTTTATTTTTATTTTTTATTTTATTTTTTATTTTTGTGTCTGTGTATACGATAAGTAGTCGAAATAATGTTTCGATTTTTGACTTCAGTATCTTGTTCGATTGGAAAGTGAATATCGTTGGTGCATTGAGGAGGTCAAAATTTAAAATTCCCAGTACTTTTCAAAAGCGCCAAGAAAAACAAAAGAAAAATTAAGGAAAAAAGGGAATTTTTACGCAAAATCGATTTTTCAGAAAATTGAATTTGGTTTTTGGTGTAACTTTAAAACAAATAACCGTAGATACATGACATTTTCACTGGTTGTTTATATTTGCATTTTCTATACACGATAACATTTACAAAATATTTTGATTTATTTTGAACTGTTTAGGGACATTTTAATTTTTAATTTTTTTTTCAGTTTTTTTTCTAGAAATATCAATAAAATATTATTTGTTGGTTGCGAAAGCTTGAAAATTTAATAGAAGGCTCCTAATATGTTGTTTCAAAGGCAGATGAAAAATATTAAAAATCCTTAGTCACAATTTTTTTTTATAAGCATTTAAAGTTCAAAAAATGACAAAATATGGAAAAATCACTAAAATTAGCAAGTTATTTTGAGTTAAGAATTCGTAAAAATTTTCCTTTTTAAATCTAAGATTCGAAAATGTAATACAAGATTCCTTATAAGATTATCTACCTTTAGCAAATTTATTATTCACTTTTATACTTTTAGATGCATATTTTAAATAATTTATAGTTTTACCAATATTTTTTCGTCAACGTTTTTATTTATTTATTCACACAACCAAAATAACTTTGATATTATCAACGATATTTCTCAAGATTTGCCGATCAGATGCCGCAATTTGTTGGGTTATTAATTTTATTTATAGACCAGATAAGATAATATTGTTCAACTCACAAAATGTTATCGATACGGGCCACGGGGACGCCTGTCGTAGACATCGGACTTATTCATATTTTAGTAATCGCTGTGTTTCCGTCGGTTGACCATCGTATACGTCCAAACGCGTTCTATTTACTATTTATTATTCAAAATGCCTAAAGTTAAAGTGTCTTTATTTTCACAATTAAACAATTATGTGTCTGAATTCGGTCCTGAAGTTTTCCCAACAGAGGGTAAAATACTTTAATGTAAAATCTGTGATATCAAGTGTGGAAGTGCTAAAAGGTTTAATGTTACCCAACATTTAACAACAGCAAAACATCTAAAATTAGTTAACCAGAAAGAAAAAAACGTAAATATAAAAAAAGCTCAACAGCATTTTCTAACTGGTACCAAAAAATCGTGCTTCAATAGAGATTTGTGTTCCGCGATGTTATCGGCCAATATACCGTTAAATAAATTAAATAATGAATCTTTTAAATCATTTTTAGTAAAATATACTGGCAAAATAATTCCAGCCGTGACCACATTACGAAAAGGCTACGTAGATGAAATTTACGATGAAACATTAATAAAAATTAGTAAATGCTGTTATTGACAAAAAAATCTGAGTGTCCATCGATGAGACCACTGACTTTAGGGCGCTTTGTCGCAAACGTCATTATTGGTACCCTCGAAATGGATAAACCAGGACACACATTTTTATTAAACTCTGAAGTACTGCCTAAAACTAATAACTCGACTATTTCAAAGTTATTTGACGACTCTATGCATATTTTGTGGCCCGAGGGAGTGCGACATAATGACGTCTTGTTATATTTAAGTGACGCGGAACCTTATATGGTAAAAAGTGGAAATGCAATAAAAACTTTTTATTCTAAAGTTATCCATGTCACGTGTATTGTTCATGGGCTTCATCGCATGGTAGAAAAAATTTGTGGACACTATTCAAAAGTTGATAAAGTAATTTCTAATGTGAAAAAAAAATGTTTTGAAAGCGCCTTCTCGTGTAATTATATTTAAAAATACAGCACCTGATCTTTCATTTCCTCCGGAACCTATCATTACAAGGTGGGGAACATGGGTAAAAGCCGCATGTTATTATTGCGAACACCACGAAACTTTGAAATCCATTGTTTATTCTTTGGATAAAGAAGAGGCAATTTCTATAAAAAAACGCACAAAAGTATTTTGCTGACCTCAGTCTAGCCGCAAGTTTAGTGTTTATTAAATCTAATTTTGGATTTATCCCCGACGTAATGACTAGTCTTGAAACAAAACATATGCCACTGTCAGATGCCGTAAAAATAATTGAAGACTGTCGCGGTCGGTATTTCGGCAACGCCGAAATACCGGCCGCTACGTCTTTCGTGTCACCCGCACGACGCGCTACAGTCGGACGGCAGGTGGAGGGGACTCGGACGTCGGCAACGACACCCGACCTCGCCGCCGGCCGGGCCGACTGTCTTGTTCCGTCCGCGTAACTACATACTACGACTATTGTAATAAGAGTAATATAAGTGCATAATAAAGTAAACTCGTGTGTTGTTCTTCTGAGTCACCTACAGTATCCTCTACCACGTCCAGCACACCGTGTCAAGACGTTTTTTTAAAATTGAATCAATTACCCGGTACAGTGGGAAAAATGATTCAAGAAAAGATGAATGATGTTTTAGAGAAAAATGAAGGTTACCAAACATAAGCTCAAATTTCCAAAATTTTAGTTTTGAAGAAGTATTCAGTTAAAATAATAATTCAAAGAGTCCAAATAATTAAATAATTAATTGTAAGTTGTTAAATAAAGTTGAAAATAAAATTTATTCATCAAATTAATAAGTACCAACAGAAAAATTCTTATTTTTTGTTCAAAAATATTCACTTTAAAATGCATATTTTTTATATTTAAGTAGATATTTTTAATGCATATTTTGTATATTTAAATGCATATTTGGTAACTTTTTAGAGCTACAAGTCATCTGCCCTAGTAATTATAAATGACAAATCACATAAAGATTTATGTAAAGATGCAACAACTTTGTTATTATATTCTTGACATAATTTCTTCTAATGCACATACTATTTCATAAAAACCCTCAACAAAAATCAAGATGGACTCTTGACGTTTCTAAAATATACAATTTCTGAATTTCCAATTTGATATTTCGTTGGTTCCATGCTGTTAAGCAGTACTAGATTATCGTTTTCTAGGATTTTTTCGATTTCTTTTCCTCTGTTATCGGTATTTAGAGAGCCCCATCTGACATTGTGACGGTTGAAATCACCTGTTATAATAAAGGGATTGGGTAGTTGCCTTATTATATTTTCTAGGTCTTTGTCCGTAAATGTGTGTTGGTTGGGTATATGTTACAAACGTTTACTTCTATATCATTGAGTTTAATTGCTACTGCTATTACTTCAAGATGTGTTGAGATATTTATTTCTTTAGATGGGTATGTGGAACTGACGTATGTTGTTACTCCACCGAAGTCCGGTGGTTCTGTGTTTGCTAAAATCACCGTAGTTGGATAGTTTTGCGGCATTTAGATTTGTGAAATTTGTTTCTTGGAGACAAATTATTTCTAGTGAGATTTCAGGTATTAGTATTTTTAGTTCGTCTACTTTTTTGTAGAAACTATTCATATTCCATTGTAGTATTTTCATTATTATTTATTTATTACGGCTTGATGGGAGCATAGGATATGAATAGGATATATTTTTTTTTTTAATATTAGTTATTGCTCCGTGGTATGGTCATTACCTAGAGTTATATCGAGTCGGGAGTTGGAGAGTCTGGATAGTCTGTTTTTAATGCCTAGGTTCTTAACCTTGGGGAGGATCGAATCCAGAATTACTATCATTTCCATCGTTGATATGTTGAACTCCTTTAGAACGTTAAAAGAGTCCTGGATGCTGAGTGTATTTTCTATTATGTATTTTAGTTGATTAAAATCTATTTTTTGATTTGGTATTTTTTCGAACTCGAATTTGGCTGATACTAACGACTCGTCTAATTTCAAAATAATTTGTTCGATGGAGTTTGATCTTTTTGGTTTCTTTGCGAGCGGTTTCGTTGGTTTATTGGCTTCAATTTTGGTATCATTGGTCTTTGGAAATGTAGGATGTGTTGTTGGCGGGTTGTTTGATTTTCTTTCTTTGGATTGAGACTCTTTTAATTTTGTAGCTAATGAGTTCTTATTGGTTATTAAGTTTGGTATGTTAGTTTTTGTTTGAGATAGGTTAAATGGATTTTCTATGGTGGGCTCATTATCCGTGTGTAAATTGCTGGAAGTTGATGAAGGCGCTGGTCTTTTAACTTGTTCCACTTTTTCTTGGGTGGAATATGGGCAATTGGGAGTACTGTTGGATAAGTGTTGGATATCATGTTGTTGAATGTTATTTTCTGTGTCGTAGAAACTTGGAATAGAATTTTGGTTGTTCTGTTGAGAATCAGTAATTTTATTTTATTATTATATTATTATTTTATTTATTTTTTATTTTATATATATATACTAGATGATCCCGTGCTGTTTGTACGGAAGTGTATGATTTAACTCTAAAGTATCAAAGTTATACCAAGTTTGTCGTTATTATTTAATTCCACCTACGGTGGATGAATCATAATGAATCACGGTATATAATCAATTAATACAAAATAATAAACTAACCGTACTAAAATCTGATGACTAAAAAAACAGAGGTCTAATCTACAGACAAATATTCATTTATATAATATTATATAGCTAAGAAAGAATAAATAAATAAATAAAGACCCAGCCAAATGATAGACTTGCCTTTGAACTTTAAATGTTTGCATAACATTTACATGTCTTATTTCTGTTGCACCAAACGATGTCATTTGGCGATTGTTATTGCCATTGTTCTTTTGACTTAATCTGAGTAAACGTTGACGTTTTATTATATTCGATGGACGACCTAAATTAATTTTCCTTTTCATTGTGATAAATGGTTACACAGGTCAGAATATATCGGTTCGTCCTTAGTAGCCGGCAGCCTCGGAATGCATTCACCGCACACAACGCTCGTTGATTTTAATGAATCCTAACCTAACGTACTAATTGAATATGTACAATAACAAATAGTCGATGTATTATATTATAATAAATGGTTTGTTTGTGCTCGTGGCAATGACTTATAACGATTAACTATAATTCTGTATTGAAATTTATAGAATGAATCATTTTATAGGACGTCACTCATGGCAACCATTTATAAACATAAAATTCGATCTGAATTTTATGAAAATTTATAATCATTGATAACTTCTTTGTTTATTAAGCTAGAGAATCGATCAAATGCCATAAGCCTTCTCCGCAATGAGTTCTTCAATTTAAAAAAAAAAATCATAACGATCGGTTCAGTAGTTTCCGAGAACATATCACTTGTTTTAACCATCATAAGAGAAGGAGATACACCTGGAAAATGCCTGGAGACAATAGATATAGGAATCAAGTAATAGAAAGTAGAAGTTACCCAGGTGCGGACATAAATAGCGATCACAACCTTGTTATGATGAAGTGTAATCTTAACACATTCGAGACGAATCACGCGCGAGGCGCGTGATACAACTACGTAGGTACAATGGAGACGGAACATTTTCGCTCCTTTTTTCCCCCGGAGACGAGCGGTTTTTACCACTTTTCGTACAATTATCATATTTTCGCATTTTAATCAACTTTTACGATTTTTTCACTATATTATAGTAGAAATGTTGTAGTTTTAAAAAAAAAAATAATAATTTCCATAACTTAAATACTTCATATTTTTCTTATCGGTCAAAACACGATCAAAAATGACAAAAAAAGAAAGTCGACCAATTTTTTTTTCATATAAAACTTCAAAAATAACATTTTTTTTTATTCACAAATTCAAAATAAATAACATAATTTAGTTATTACCAAAAAACTTAAATATAAAAACAAATTTATAAAAAATAATCTGAATACTCATACTAGTTCAGGCTACATGGGTAGTATATTATAAAACAAGTTAAAAAAAAAAAAATACTGGAAATGCTTATATAAAATGTCTTAATACTAATAATGATTTTTAATTTACAACCAATAATTATTTATAGTGTGATATTTTTCAAAACAGTCCTCAATACATAACGGTGTATCACACTGTTTGCAATAAAACGAAGTTTCTTTTCTTCCTCTTTTGCCACTTATATATTTTATTTTATCTGCACAAACTTTACAGACTCTTCTGGGGTTTTGTTTTGATGCTGTTGATGGTATACGTGTAATAAAATGTCGTCCTGACAGCCGATTTGTAACCGTATCATTATAGTTGTCTTGATTATAACCATTTTTTTCTGCCATTTGTAAGTTCAAATTAATTATAAATGTCCTTAATGCCATTTTTTTTGTCTATCATTCAGTCCAATCCAGTCCTGTCCGGTCCGCGATAAGACACACGAGGCAATCTAGACAACTCCTACTTTGAATGAGCAACACGGTCAGACACCATTCTTCAACCCATTCCAGACCTACGTAAGTAGAAAACTCATTATATCCCCCCCTGCTCGACCAGAGGGGTGCCACGGCTGGGTCACGCACCAGTTGCTAGGGTTTCCAATCTCAGCACATATTCCATGACTCACTGCGCTGGCGTTGGACGCAACAAACGCAAATCAACACCACCTTATACCATCGGAAAGGAAGGTCGAACTCAGGCTTTCTCACCGCCACCACTGCCATCAAACCCACAAGTTAAAGACTTATCAAACACCGGGAAAAAACGCAAGGCAAGCCAATCCAGCTCCGTCTCACCTCCTGAAAATCCATCAACTTCGAAGAAGCTGACCAAGGCAACCAACTATTCATCAATTACGGACACGATTATTACCACCGACAACAACAACCTCTCTCTTTCCGCTTCTGTGGACAGATCCGAGCATCAACCATGTATATACTACAAGGTCTTGACGAAGTAACAGCGAAAACTACATCAGTACCACTTCAAATTCAAATAAACTGCCCTGAAGAATCTTCTTTCAGACTCGTCCAACAATTCATGACCACTAACAAAATCAACTACCACACTTTTGCATTACCCAAAGAACAATATCTCAAGATTGCAATCAAAGGTATCCCACTTGACGTTACTGACGAAGAACTTATGGAAGAACTCCAAGAGATGGGGTTCAAATCAAACTTTGTCAGAGCTTTTGCAAAAAATGAAAAGAGACTTCCGATCCACATGGTTTCCTTAAAACGTACAGAAAATGTCAAAGAAATCTTTGAAATAACCGAACTATTCTACGTCTGAGTCAAAATAGAGTCATACAAGTCAACAGGTCCTGCCCAATGTTTTTCTTGTCAACGATTTGGCCACTCATCACTTCAAAGCGGGCACCCGCCAAGATGTGTAAAATGCGGAAAAAACCATCCCAGCAAAGAATGCACAAAACCGAAAGAAGATAGCCCAACCTGCTGTAACTGCAATGGTAAACATACTGCTAACTATAGGGGCCGCCCCTACTACACTAATACTTGCAAAGAAAAGACCGACCAATCCAGAGACGTCATAAGAACCAAACTCATCCAGGAATCCAAGTTGAAAGTACCACCAACAAATATACCAGTATCTACAGCACATGAAACAGCCAAATAACAAATACAAAATCATACGTGACTGCAAAAAAACACCAAACAGGAAAAACCGAACTCACAATTGACACATCAAAGCTCTTACAAATAATTAGAGACCTCCTTACTACAGCCCAAAAATGTGAAGACGTCGCATCAAAGAATGCAGTCATCACAACAGTCCAAAATATAATCAACACCATACCCACATCCCATGATGAATAAATTCAAAATCATCTCATGGAATTGCAACGGTATCGAAAACAAAATACCAGAACTCACTGCATTTGTAAAACAAAACAAAATCGACATAATCCTACTTGGTGAAACTCGACTAAACCCCAAAAATAAAATATCAATACCAAATTATCATGTTTACCGAACCGACCGCCCAAAAACACCAACCGCTCCCTCTTCAGGAGGAACAGCAATTTTAATACGGAAGAATATTGTAGTAAGCAAGTTACTACGCAACATTCGAAGTCTCGACGGGTAGCATATTCAACATAATATACGGTAGATAGGTAATGGGCAGATGTATTAAACAAAAACTTATTAACCTTCCTGGTTGAAATAATATTACATGACCAGTGCGGGTTTGCAATCATGTAAAATATTCGGGTGTTATATATATATTATATATTATATGCGATAGCTTTATTTTACAAGGAAATTTAATATAAAATAAAATAATATGATGATTT